GTTCATGTCTTCGGCATGTGTTGGGAGGGTCTTTTAGCTTACGAGAGGGGGCCCTCGCCCATCGAGCAAGGCAGGCAGGCCGAAGTAAACGCGCGGGGCGGCTGTAGAGCGAGGGAGGCGGCACAAGTTTTTGATCAGCAGGTGCGAGCGTACCATGCCCAGTGCCAACGAACAGTTCATGGAATCCCCCCCTCACACCCTTCGGCCATTTCTCTCCTCTTTGGCTTCCCACCATTTTTTTTTGGGTGGCTCGTGGTGGCATAGCAGCAGCTGCTTCAACAGGCCTTGGGCATTTGTGCTGCCACTCCCAGCAAGCAAGTGTTCCCCGCTCCTCGCGTTCGTTGCTGGCATGTTCGCCGCATCATCTCACCTTTTTGAATTGCTGTGCGGGCACCTGGTCGCTTCCCCTTGTCCGTTCGGCCATATATCCTCAAGCACACCACGGATTATAACGAAATAGGAAATGTGGTTTTTCTTTTTTTTGGCCGCATTGTCGCGTCTGGTGCATAGTCTGTGCATATATCCTATGAGGGCTTCCTCAATTGGAGACGAGTGGGGAGCAGTCCGAAAACTGCAGGAATGTCAAGGCACCCGGCCAGCGTGAAATGCCCTACCAAGCGCTGCTGTTGGTGTTTCATGCGCTTCTCAGCAGCGGGGCTGCTGGCGTTGTTCGTCGGTGCTGTTCTATCCCCTCCGCGGATCATATTATTTGCGGCCTTTGTGCACTGTGAATATGCGCGCCCTGTGGGGAAGAAAAGTGTGTGTGATGCTGCTGCTAAATACCTCAGAGTGTGTTTAGGTCAACAGGCGGCGGTGAGTATTGAGCACAAACGCGCAAAGCGGCCGCTGCAGGAGGTTCAGTCAGCAGATATTGACGCGCTAGGGAAATAAACGCAGAGTGGTTTGCGATGACCACTCATGGTCGCGAACTTCAGGCTGTCGAAACCCCCCGTCCATCTCGGAACCCGACGGCCTGTCTGTAGATCTCGTTCATGTTCGGGTTTTGGCGAGCTCGCAGCAGTCCCCGAATCGGTGATCCCAGAAGGAATTAGCATCGTGGGGAAAAAAAAGGGCGAAAAAGGAAGAATGATCACCTGCTCCATCAATGCACCCCTCGCTATTTTTACGGCTGGTGTAGACGTGTGAGCATTTTGCGAAAACGCGATTCTGATTGTATTTGGTTCACCCCTGGCTTTTCTCTGCTGTTGTGTGGCTCTCATATAATACTGCTACTCCGGCTGTGTCGCCTGTCCTTTCTACATGTGCCGCGGCCCTTCCCTCGTAATAAAAAAAGGCCGACGGGGCGCTACAAGGGGCAGCAGGAAAGGGAATTACCGCGTTACACGGGCAAATTATGGGCGTCGTCAGCACGGCTATGTGGGGAGAGTTTGACGGGGCAGGTGCGTTTTGCTCTCTCGGCTGATTGATTTACCAGCTGCTACTGCTTTGTCCCGTGGCTTTCGATCAGCAGCGGAAAATTGCGGTGTACGACAACTCCGCGAAACAACAAGCCTGCATTTCTTTTTCGGACTGGGATAGATCGGAGCCTGCTGTGGAATGTTTGTTCGCGATTTCGCGGTTGTAGAACAAAAAAGAATCGTTAACATGTCGTAGATCTGTCGTAGATTGCACTCCATCTGCTGTCAAGGTTCGCGGCCGTGTGGTTACTATTATAAGATAGGAGGAGCTTTGTTTTTTTTTTGCACGGGATCCGGTGCACTTAGGCAGCTGTACACACATCATGCCGTATGCTGGTTGGTGCCGTCCGGTTTTTGCGCTTTTTCTTTGGGTCTAAGGAGTGTTGTGTCTGAATCTTTCGCGTCTCGCCTCATGACGACGTGTGTGTGGCTTTTCGTTATCTACAGTACTCCATCTGCATGTATGCGTATGTACACGTGCGTAGAGACTAATATTCATTGATTGGTAGATAGTATGCATACAAACGACAATGCATTCTGGGTCGAATGAAACCCCGTGTTCAGCGTTCATCTGAGCCACGTGCGTCCATAGATCATATTCATTGATTGGTAGATAATATGCATACAAACGCAATGTATTCTGGGTCAAATGAAACCCCGTGTTCAGCGTTCATCTGACCCATTGGGTAGACGTAGATCACCAAGGACGCCGTCGGGCAAACCCAACCACAAATCAGAATATTTGCAACTTCTATGCATAGGTAGGTATTTTTTTAGCTTGTTTGGGGCTGCTGGCGTGCAATTTCGATTTCATTCCGCATTATATGGTTTGCATACTCCGAAGTATGTACAAGTATGCATATCATATCTTCACTATGGATGATCCGGCTTGTCCTAGGTGCCCACACTTGACCGTTTTTTTTTTGTTCCCCCGGTTGCATGTGTGACCCTCTCGCACAACACAAATACAGCATGCATACGTGGCCGCTGGCTGCTGTGGTTGCTTGCTCGTGAGGAACTACTGCTGTAGTATTTCAACTATTTTGTTTGTGTCTAGGATGGCGAAGCTGCCCACCATTTCTGTCTCCCGTGCTGTAAAGGCCTTGTTGTCTCAAATTGTATACTAGTCTACAAGTCTACCTCAAGTGGACCACATGCCGATATCCGGTATCCTAGGACCTCTGTTTTAGACCTATTCATTGGGGCACGGTAGGCGAGGGTATTGTAGGGATTTGCTGAACCCTTGTCGGGGTTGAAAATCGACAAGACAAGCACCGCACAAGAACAATGATGGGTGGAGAAATCCTCCCGGCTTGTTGTCCCGGCTGGCGCGCCAAAGCACGTTCATGCGATTAGTTGGATGGATGCATGTGCTCCGGTTGTGTTGGCACACGGACGGGCGCCCACAATAAACGGGACGATAGAAACACACAATAAAAAGGAAGCCGGGTTTGCGTCGGGTTCGCAAGCGTGATTGATTATGGCCAGCAGTCATGAAAGCTCTCTGCTTCTGTCTCTGTTTTGGGCCACTCATCCAACGTCGCTGTTTGAACGGCCTCTTGGTAGATCCAGTAGTACAACAGGGCTCCTGGCCCCAGGTGTTTTTGTTGCAGTGCAACTGCTGCTGTGTGACTGATTAGATTTTCGTGTGCTTTGGTAGACGCTTGCGCTTGGTCACACGGCAGTTGCTTGTGTTGTTCAGTTGGCAGTTTAGCCTATGCTCGCAGCAAACTGCTGTCTGGCGTGGCGGACGTAGGTCGGGATCTAGGCTCTCAGTCGCACGACATTCTCACTAAAGCAACAGCAGTTTGTGTGTGTGCTAGTTAGTATACACGTGGAGAGCAACTCCGTCCGACTGTTTAGACCACGCGCGCGCATGTTTCGCAAGAAATTCTGCTAGACCACAGGTCGACCAGAGAAACGAAGGGCTGAATTGAATCACAATTGCTCGCCTTATTACAGGCAAAGTACCTCAGGAGCAAAAAAAAAAAACGTGTGGCCGTGCGGCCTTTGCTTGTCGTGTGTGGCCTCCGGTTGATGGCGCGTCCGAGCAACACACTTACACACGGAACGCGTAAGACTGACGCACTTTTGGAATACACGGGGCCAAACACAGACGCTAGAGAGCGGGTAGCACCGCGGTCGACGTCCCTGGGGGTTTCAGGGGCCCCTTTCCTAAAGTCTGCGTGCATGTATGGATATGCCTGCCGATATTGAACGGCAGGCACGAGAGGATCCAAGTTTTTCTTTTCATATTTCCGCAGCGAGATTAAGATTTCAATTTTTTGTGTGGCCACCACGTCACCTCTATCGAAGCGGTGGTGGGTGTGTATTTAGCACCACAGAAAAATGGGAGCGCGTGCTGCAGACTATGCTCCTGCCTGTGGTGGTGTTGTTTTTACAGAAACATAAACAAATCCATCTCTTCCACAGAGACTGGAAAAGAGTCCAAGATAAATTAGCAACGGTGTGGTTCAAGCCATCCCCCCGGAGTGGGCTCATGACAACACAGCAGTGTCATGAAGGCGTGATGCAAGGTTGAAATGACGCATATGTTGGTGTGAATCAGCTGCCAGCTGCTGTCAGTGGTGTTTCCCACGAGCGAACAGCTTACACAGCTGATTTTGTGTTTGGCTCCAAGAGCCCAGCGAACCTCAACGAACTTACAATATACTCTTTCTTATATAGAGATGGATTCGTTGGGTCATATTCAGGAAGAAAAAAGAAGAAATATGCAAATCTACACGGAAGTACAGCAGTACAGTCTTACGACAACCAACTTGTATTCATACAATTCCCCGAGCAGCAAACAGCGATGTCTCCCCTGCTGTTTTGAAGCTCTTCGTCAATAGAACGTTGGTTGACGAGGGCCGGACGAAAACAATTTGCAAGAAAACATCCGCGCACATTATTTCCGTCAACAAACACTTGCCGAGTAAACGATACCAAAAGTTACGAAAAGGTGTCTTCGGCGTGTTTTGTATCTATCGTATTGCGGCGCCACCATTGAACGAGGCACGATGACCAACCATTCCGGCCGAGCAGCATCGAACTGAAGGGCGGAGGCGAGCAGCGAGCTCTATCACAAAGAACGACGTGTAGTCTACAGCACTAGCGCCAGAACGTGGTGGCAGAGAAATCGAGCCTCGAAAACTCGAGATTTTCTAACTTGAGCACCGTTCGTGAGCCCCGCGAAGAACCCCTACATCTTTGCATGGCGGCCATGTGTAGCACCATCTAGGAGGAAGTAAGGACCTTAACCTCGTCCAAAACTAAGAGTGTATCAAGCGCGGTTGGCCTATTTATTTTATTGTCGGTCGCCATCACGCTATTTAGCCCCCCTCTCCCATCGGATGGCTGTGTACGCTTTGTTGTCGCGAGCGTGCCTCTCTCTCACACAACCGCCCCACTCCCTCTCCCTTTTCGCCCCTCTTCTTCTCCGTCTTCGCGTGTTTCTCTCGGGATCGGCTCTCCGCTGCTGCCTTTTCACACTCGGCGCTTCGTCTGCTTGGCTCCTGGGGGATTTTTGGTCCCCACTGCTGCTGCTGCTGCTGTCGAAAACTTGGCCATCGTGGAAAAGAAATGGAATCAGGGACCGGAGATTTGGACATGATTTTGATGGGCATGGATACGGGGACCCTGGGCGTGGCAAGGCTTCGCACGGGGCACCTTGTCTGCGTGTACGCAGAGGTAAGCTTGGTTGCCACCGATGCAATTTGGCCACCGCATCCGAAATAGAAACGTCGAGGAATACGCATAGTTCCTTGCAATGGTTCCTTGTTCCGACAGATTGAAGCACGTTGTACATAGATGCCGGTAGTGTTGTACGCCGCAGTATCTACGTTCTCTGCAAGAAGTTCCGTGGCACGTGGTTTCTGACGCAACGTGAAAAGCAGAGGCATGTGTGCGGAGTGAACGGCGGCTGCCGCAAGGGGATTTTCTTTGGCGTGTAAGACTCAACCCGCCATCGCCAGGGAGTTGTGTAGCTTACGCTAGCCAGCCGCTCTTAACCTTTCCTCTAGCCACACGCCCCCGCCGTCCGTGTATAAGGGGCTACGGGTATTTCGTCGCGCTCTCGGATGCGATAAATCATACCGCTAGAGGTACAGCACCGGCACCGCGCGAACGCACCAGTGAACCGACATTTAGCTCTGTGAACAGCGTTTGTCCGCTTTCACCTCCAGTCCCCCCGCCCTCCATTGACCACAAGCAATGTTTCCCCCGCATTTTTCGACGTTTGTTGCCAACAGGACTGGGTTCAGTTAGGCAGCGTGCGGACTAGGCTCCTATCCCTTCGCTCGGCGCTGGAAATCTCCTTGCGTAGCTTGGAGGAGGGATAGGAGAAAGAAGATTGGCGCGCCTGCGGGGGGGGGGGGGGGG